GTGGGACTTGGGTGGCATTCAGATGCCTAGCCCACAGAAAAGTAATCCAGATCAGCCATGAGCTGGTGAGTGGCCACAAAACTACGTAAGTTCCTAGTGTTATTAAACATGTCCATTTTGGCCTGAAAGATTCCCAGGTGTCTTGGCTTGAGCTTGCATTCATGTTTGGAAGTTATCCATCTTATGGTTTAGGTGTCTGTCTCTCACCCAAGCTCAGCTGAGTTCTAGGTCAGTGTTGGAAGTCTGTGTCTCCCTGATCTGTTGTTAGGCATTTGTGGAGCCCACAGATGAGGGTCTTCAGTGGCAGACACTTTGCATGAGCTGCCATTGGAAGAAATGGCAGCCACAGGGGCTTTGGTTGCTTTCACTGTGCTGCCACAGGGAGAAATAGTGGCTGTGGGTGGGTCCTTGAGCCTGCCATACCACCTCTGACCCAAGCTGGGTCATTCTGGCCTGGCAATCTCAAAAGGTTGCTGCTCCCTCATTTAAACAATCATTGGTTAAAAAAATAGAAATAACCCTGGCAGCAGTGGCAGGAGAAGCATTCAAGAGCAGAAGTTATTGTGGGCATTACACCATGGTGCTCCAAATGCTGTTTTGGTGTGACGTAGGTATTTCTACTTTAGGCACCTCCATCATCATGGGATTCAGAGCACCTAATTTGCTACCCTAAGTCTAGAGTCTACACTTTGGGAAGGAGCAGTAAACCAAACACCCATGTGTTTCACGTTTCCTGTTGGTCTGCTGTAGTCACCCATTGCTCAGTGTCTACTTGCCCTGGATTGATCTTGGGAGGTGACTCCCTGTCTCTGTTGACTGTATGGGAACCCAGGTGCATAACTTGTAAATTTGCATTGTCCTCCTTGTGGATGTCTAATGTCGAGGCACTGCAACACCTATGGGGGTGCCTATGAAAATGATTTGAATCCACCCAAGGTCAGACATGCTGTGAGGAGTGTGAGGTAACTGTTCCATAACAAAGAAGCAGGCATTTTAGTTCAAAATTTAAAATGGACTCAGAGCTCAGCTCAGCTTTAAAGATGTACCAAGGCTTCTTGCTCTAAAACTGTTAAAGTTTTGATGCAGCCTGGGAGCCAAAAGAACTTACCAAATAATGCAATTTAGAAGCTTCACTATTGTGATTTTTATGTGGAGATTGTATAACTGCTTGAATTAAATTAATGACATAAATGGTAGATAGACTATAGAAGACATGACTGAGTAAAAACAATTTTTTTAAAGCCAGGAGGAGTTGTTCTGTCTGCAAATAACAGAGTATCAGTTCTTGAAAAATGTTTTATTTTAACTTCAGTGTTTCATCTTTATTAAATAGAGTTGATGCATAACATCTGTCTAGAGCATCTTTTTGGTATTCTAGCTAAGTATTTGAAGTGGATTTGTTCTGAGTTTGATTGGTTATGTCTGGCACAGTCTCAAGTTTCCTCTGAATGGTAACAAAGACTGTAGAGTGTTGTTGGTACGGCTGTGAAAGGCATGCTTCCTTAGTCCAGGTAAGAGAGATCATTTTGTTTCTGTCTGCTCTGCAAGTATTTTGCAAAAAATACCTTGCAATTTAAACAGCTGTTGTTTAAAATTAATAAAGAACTCCTAGGGGGCTAAATTTAAGACATTCCTGAAAGTTGCAGGCAAGAAAACTACACTCTGTTGAGGGGGAGGGGTAAAGAGTTAGTTCAGTTTGTCACTTAAATACATAAACAGATACGATAGAATTTGGAAATCATTTGCTCTTCTCTGTAGCACAGTGGTAGGATGTGTTGTTGGCTAATAAAAAAGCACTGAATGTGGCATATTGATTGTGGATTCAGGCCATTAAATCTAGTCAAAATAGCCATACCTCCAGTTCCTTATTTTAAATTGCTAAAATGAACTTTACCCCTTGTGATTTATACATTATTAATTCCTTATTTTAGTAATGTGCAAAAGGAAAAATACTTGTGTTTTTATAGATTATTAGAAATAAGTCCAAAAGTAGATAGCTATGTGTGCATTTTACTAGGTGGTATTTTACTATCTTAATTAGTATCTGGTACTATTTTCTTGAAGTATTTGTGCTTTGAAAATGTCAGCTGTATTCTAATGAAGCCAGGGTATTGTTTGTTCATAAAGGGGCCGGTGCATTCCACTGCTTTATGGTTTATTATGAGGCACAGTGTGAGAGTGTGGGTGGCACCATTTGGTGTCTGCTTCTAGGATTGTAATTGCTATTATGCAAGGTTTTTTTGGATTGGCAAGAAAATACAGCAAATGAGTTTCTGTCTGCATCAACTCAGCATAAGCAAAGACTTTAGCAATGTATATTTTTAAAAGTTGAAGAAATGTACTTGAGATACCTAGAATACTTTTAATTCTGTTTCTCCATTGCATACCTTGCCATGAACACTATTAAATTTTTTAATTTTGATTTTTAGGAATGATTCCTTCTAATACTTAGCTGGTTTTGTTTGTGGAATAAAAAAAAGATTGTAATCTGCTCAGAATTATTAAAATAATTAAATCCCTTTCGGGAATAAAAAATATCTGAATTTTTTTAAAAGCTCTTGATAGTCTTTGAGCTGGGAAATGCCTGATGATGATTTGATTCAGAAAAAAAGAAACAGATGTCTTTCCTGTTACAATTGTGGTTGTTTCAATCAAAGCTTGCAGTTGCAGATGGGGGGGGTGTGTGTAATAAATTTAACTTAACCAACTTATTTCCACAGAAAAATTTACGAAAATTAAATTATATGTATTTGATACTCTGCTTTTAATTGTACTGTAGCAGCTTGGAAGCTTAGTCCTTATAATTAACTTATTTCTAAAATTCTTAAATTTATAGGAAGTTTGAAAATACCTGCAAAAGTTGATTTACACGTGAGCTTAATCATGTACATAAGAAATTGACTTGGTAGAAATATTTTATTATAAATTAATTATATGCCCAAATGACTTGAGAACATATCTAGATATGCTAATGCATGCCACACATACAGAAGTTGTCTGAATTTCATTTTAAGCTCCTCTACTGAATTTTAAGGTCTATAGCAATTGACACATTTTGTCTACAAATAGGAGTCAGCAAGCTGATAGTTATCAGTTGATAGGGTGTGGAAGAGACAAGTGGTAGCATTTAATTGACTTATTTAAATATTTATGGAAGTGCCTGTTTTATTGTAATGTAAAAAAATATAACATAGCATTAAGATTCATAGCAGTAATTTAAAAGGAATTAAGAGCTGAATTAAGTATTCTTGTATTTTATTTTTTGTGATAATATTCCATTAATTTTCATAAATGTTAATATTTATTGTTAGCAAGATAAATAACTTAGTCTTCAATCCTGCAACAGATGTTTTGAAGGAAAGGCCTCTGCCTCAGTCTCCATTGAAATCTTTGGGCTTTGGATCAAAGCACTAATTTGCAACAATTTGTGGTATTGTAACAGTTTACAGTATTTAAAAAAAATAAAGTATTCTTAATACTAAGTTGTGATCCCTGATGCAAATGCAAAGGTCGGCTCCAAAGGTCCAATTGTAGGATTGTCAGCAAATACATCAATCAACCACTTTTTAGGATTGGATTCATAGACTTTAAGCCACTGATTCTCAACCGATGTATTATGGCACTCTGGTTGTCTTGATGATCCTTTCAAGGGTAGTTTGGGGTAACAGTGTTAGCACTGTTTGGTGTGCAAACATGATTTACAAGATAAACCCAGAGATTTCAAATAGGGATTTATGGCGTTGAAAAAATTCTGTCCTGTTGTGGTGTTTCAGAGTTCTTAGCAATAAAAGGATTGCTCTATTATTTTTGTAGCCAAAAATCAAGTGGAAATTAGGAGTTGACATTTGCTGAGCAGTGTCTTGAGTCTAAAAAGGTTAAGAACCACTGATTTAAGCACTTCAGGACTTGAGCTATATACTGTACAGTGCGTAGTTTGAAAATGATAACTGTGAGCTGGTGATGTCCTATTTGATTCTACAGGAAAATCATCCATGTTTGGTACAAGGTCCCTCTTCTTAAAACCAATATATTTACCATTTAATGTTTTGCCTTTCAACACATGGCATAAGCCAATATATATCTCAATGAAATAAAAAAAAAATTTACATTTTTTCTTTTGAAGATTATATATACTTTCTTTAATTTAGTTTTTGTTTAGTAAATATAGACAATAAATATTGTATTTTAAAAATATATGTGCATTATAGTAGTCAACAGCAATGTAGGGATGTGTCTTAGTGCCCAGGGCAAAGTAGAATTAGCGACTACAAATTAATGAATGTGAACATACAGCTGTCAGCAGCAGTCACTTTTTCCCCCCCCATCAGTTGCCCCTATCCTCCTCCAGTTGGACCACTGGTAGTCAACTCTGCCATATATTTTACTATGTCATATTGTGACTTCTGTAGCTCATTTTAAATGTTTCAGCTTAATAGAAACCAACACATGGGGACGAATCACATAGCCTTATTGCAAAATATCCTAATATACACATCCAATATTTCATAACTTTAGGGCCTGTGTTAGATTTGCTTTTTAAGGTTCACTGCAGCCTATAATTTTACCATTTAAGTAACTTAATTGTTGATCTAAGATGAAATCCAGTGGCCAGAAGTTTCCTAAATTATAATTATTCTTTGGATATTCATTTCTGGGATTTAAATCTGATACCAAGTTGCCAACATATTCTTAAATTAAATGCATTTTCTCTGCTAAATGCAAAGGATTTCTTTCTTGTTGACATGTATTCAGTGTTGCAACCCCAACTGGGTGATGTATGCTTCCCCCATGGTTTGCTTCAGACAAGCAGTGACAAATTCTAGTGTCACAGATTTACGTTTCTAGTTTAAATTTTAACAAAACTTAAGACCTGGCAGATTTTATACAGAAAAATAGATGGAAGATCTCTAGCTGTACCTTATAAAAGATGTTATTTGCTAAGTTTAAATGGGATGCAATATATAAACTAAGCAGTTTTTATAAACTAAGTGTGGAATGATTGACTCTGGTTTCTCTTCAGACTGCATACATCTTTTGCCTTTTACTAAAGATTTCCATGGAGGAGAACTGGTTAAATTTGTGTTATAGTAGAGTAAGTTTAAAATTATTTAATGATTATAGGAGTAAACCTTGAAGCTAAATAGCATAAAAATGAAATATCAGGCTATCTCTATAACTACACTCTAGGAAGTGTAGCTTTTTCCTCAATTTCTTGCATAGATTCATAGGGCCCTACTTTTTAAATGTTATTTGTATTTTTCAAAATATTAAATAATAGTAGAACTAGTGATTCTGTATGATGCCTAATTATAATGGTGATAGATACTGACAGAAAAAAAATCTTTCTGTTATGCCCCTCTTTCAAGAGAACAATAGTATTTTTATGTATATATCCACTGACAAATTCTTATTTTGAATTTGTACCAGTGACCAAGTATATTCATCTTATGCATTGTTTTGCATACAGAATGGTTATAGATACAGTGATGGGGAAGTTTTTTACCTCTCAGTGCCTCTTTTTTCATATTTAACATAGAGGTAACTATATTTTTCCCCTTTGTAAAATGATTTGAAAGCTGCTGATGAAAAGTGCTATATAAAACATAGATATCAGATTCACCCAAGGAATCTTGTCTGCATATAAAAGCTAGGTCTTACTATTACATGAATCTTTGCAATTGGATCTACATATACTTACCTTTTTCATCCATGTGATGGGATTACTGTGACTAATAGTAACACTTTGCATGTGCTTGCATAATTGCTGGCATGTATTCTCTAAAATGTGAATTTGCAATCTTTTTGTCTTTTGCTTTTCCCCAGTACACATAGAAAGTCCTGGTGATTCAGAAGGATCAATGGTTGCCTACTGACCAAGATATGAGGGACACCAGTAAGATTTGTCATCTGTATAACACTTTCTCAAGTGTAAAGGTTGTACAGGCACTCAGTAATTAGATATGTACTCCCTGTTTGACTTCTGATAGTTACAGAATTATAGAATCATAGAAAATTAGGGTTGGAAGGGACCTCATGAGGTCATCTAGTCCAACCCTGTGCACAAAGCAGGACCATCCCCAACTAGATCATGCCAGCCAAGGCTTTGTCTAGCCAGGTCTCAAGAACCCCTAAATAAAATATGGAGATTTCACAAACTCCCCGTGTTACCTGTTCCAGTGCTTTACTGCACTCCTTGTTAGAGCCTAAACTTCCCTTGCTGCAACTTGAGACCATTGCTTCTTGTTCTGTCATCTGCCACCACTGGGAACAGTCTAGCTCCATCCTTTTTTGAACCCCCCTTCAGGTAGTTGATGGCTGAGGTTAAATCCCACCTCAGTCTTTTCTTCTTCAGATGAAATAAGCTTAGTTCCCTCAGCCTCTTCTCGTAAGTTGTGTTCCCCACCCCCTATCTATTTTTGTTGCCTTCTGCTGGATTGTCTCCAACTTGTTTACATCCTTTCTGTAATGGGGGGCCCAAAACTGGACACATTACTCCAGATGTGGCTTCATCAGTGCCAAATAGAGGGGAAGAATCACTTCCCTCAATCTGCTTTCAGCGCTCCTACTAATGCAGCCCAGTATGCTGTTAGCCTTCTTTGCAACATGAGCACACTGTTGGCTCATATTAAGCTTATTGTCCACTGTAACAGCCAGATCCTTTTCTTCAGAGCTGCTGCACAGCCAGTCAGCCCCAGCCTGTGCTGGTGCATGGGATTTTTCCATCCTAAGTGCAGGACTTTGCACTTGTCTTTGTCGAACCTCATGTGATTTCTTTTGGTCCAATCCTCCAATTTGTCTAGGTCACTCTGAATCCTAGCCCTACCCTCCAGTGTATCTACTACTCCCCCAAGCTTGATGTTATCTTCAGACTCACTGAGGGTGCACTCCATCCCATCTTCTAGGTTGATGAACAAGATGTTGAACAAAACTGGCCCCAGTACTGACCCTTGGGGTACTCATACTGGCTGCCAACTAGACATTGAGCCCCTGACTACTACCCTCTGAGTCCAATGATCCAGCCAGTTTCTGTCCAACTTGCAGCCCATTCATTAAACCTGTAGTTCCTTAGGTTGTTTATGAGATCTTTGTGGGAGACAGTATCAAAAGCCTTGCTAAAGTCAAGGTGTATCATGTCCACTGCTCTTCCCGCATCCACAGACCCAGTCATCTCATTAGAGAAGGCAATTAGATTGGTCAAACATGCCTTGCCCTTGCTGAATCCATGCTGACTGTTCGTAATTATCTTCTTCTCCAAGAGAATATATATACCTATTACACTGAGCACGGACAATTTATTACAGTCCTCCTGTTCCTATTTAGAGGAGACCTGCAAAAAAAAAGTGTCTATTTCCTCTTTTGATTCTTTAACATATAGAAATAAAGCCTACAAAGTTTATTTTATTGTTTATTTAATATGGAACACTTTCAGTCTTAATATGCCTATTTTGCTGAAGAACTAGTAGTTTGTAGGTGTGATTATTGCAACTCGTATTGACAAAAGAAGCCACGTCTACTTAAAAACTGCGAACTGGTATAAAATACCACAGACAGTCTGTTTAGCAACCCATTACTCTGCTTTCTTTGCTTGCTTCCAGTTCAATACAATTTCATTCAAGATTGGTGTCCTGATTTTAAAAGCTCTCCAGGTCCCTGCTGTTTTAGGATGATCTCTTTTGTGACTGTGATCTCTTCTAGCAGTTCTGTTCCACTGGACCACTGAAATGGTTGACCAGCAGGGGAAGGTCTGTGAGTGCAGGAAGTAGAACTGTCACTGGGCACTATAGAATTTACTTGCATAAGAAAGGAGATTGACTTTGGGCTTCACTGTTTGAAGAAGTAAACATAATACTCATTTGAGATGCTTACCCAAACAAATGCAAACTCTAGCAGCTATCTGGCAAATTATCTTATTTAATTGGGAAGAAAGAGGTGTTTCTGTTTCCTCCTCTTTGGGAGGGGTTCAAATGTTTGGGCAAAGTCGGGTGAACACCTGGGCTGTGATACTCAAGAAGAGTAAAAGTGGAGAGAGATTTTTTAGTTAGGTTGTTTAAAATGCTTTGGCATTTCTTTAACTCAAGCTCTTGACAGATATTTAGAAATAATGCTCATCTAGTGATAAATTCAGAACTTTCTCCCCTTTGGTGTAGCGTGAAAGAGTCCTTGCCATACCATTGCTTAAAAACCAGGAAGCCAAAGACTGATATTTCCAAGATAAAAATTCTAGTAGGATCCCTTCTCTGTTGCATTAAAATGTTTAAGTTTGTATTTTGTATCTTGAAGCAAAAAAGGAAAAATAATTGTGCAAGAGGGACAAGAAAAAATAACACTCCTTTTAAGATTGTTTCTTGGGGCTGTAAGTTTACCATCCAAGGGGAATATGTGGAGGTACTCAGAGGAGGTAAAACAAAAATAACAAAGAAAATGTGCAAAGCTGTAACAATGAAGCTCCACCAAAAAGACACTTAAATACTTATCATGTCTGAACTATATATATTGTCTTTGTCTAGTTTAGGACTATGAGCTCTTTGAACAAGGGTCATACCATCAACATTTATATAACATCAAACACAATAAAGGTGTCTGATAAATAATTGTGACTTCATGGAGTCATCTAGATTGTGTTAGAACAGGGGTGTCCAACCTTTTTGAATGTGGGGCCGGATCACGAACTTTTTATCCCCCAGTGGGCCAGCGAGCCATATTCAAAGACCTCACAGGAAGTGACATCACATCAGGAAGTAATGTCACGTGACCTTTGACACCAATGAAGTTGCAGGAAGTGACAATTAAATGGGTCTGGAAATGTGCACATGTGTGTTGCAGCAGACAGAGCCAAAGCAGCTATTGGGATGTGCTGGGAAGCACACACACATGCACATGCATGCATGCACGCATGCACACACACACAGCCCCAACCCGGCCCTGAAGCGCCCCCAGCTCCACACAGGAACTTACCCTGTGCCTGCGTCCACCCGGCCCAGCCCCGAGGCGCCCCCCAGCTCTGCACGGGAACTTACCTGGTGCCTCCATCCACCACGCATGCGGGCAAGGCGCAGGCCATGCTGCAGCTCCCCTGGCCACGTTCCGGGGGCAAGGGGCAGAGTCCATCCCCAGTTCCTCCAATCAGGCGTGGCTGGGGCAGCCCCGCTTCACGCAGCCCTCGGGGCAGCTGCGGCAGGACCCGGCTCACTGATGAGGGACAAGCCTGTGTTAGAATATAAGACACAGTAGGGGTGGCTATCCTCTGTAGTAGGGGTGCTAAGTCTCCAGCCCACAGGCCAAATGTGGCCTGTGGAACCATGGTATCCAGCCTACAGGGCTCCCCACAGGTCTGAAAATTTGGTGGCAGGAGTGCAGTGTCAATTAATACTGCCACCTTCCCTGGCTGCCAAATTCCCAAACTCCAAGCCCTGCAGGGCTGGGTTGAGGCCAAGCCACTCCCCCTCTGCGCAAAGCTGGATCAGGGCAGCCACACACCCTGGAGGCTGGATCAGAGCCCTGATACCCCTTCCTCCTCTGGCTGAGTTGGAGCTGGGCCATGCTCCCCCTCCCCATGACTGGGGACCCCTTGCATCTGCCCTGGTTGCTGGATCAGGCCCATCAGCCACATCTGGCCCACAGATGGACCGACCGGGCATTACCCATCTGGCTTGCTGGCCAGAAAAGGTTGAGCTCCATTTCTCTGTAGAGATACCCACACTAGCTTGAAACATACTACTGTACCTCAGGTCCTGGACACAGTCCCACCTTAGTACCATAGTACTCCTTGGCAGAGTAAATTAGCCTACATGCACCTTGATGCTATCAAGGCTAGACTTCTTCCAGTACCCCTGCTGGCTTGCTTCCAGCCAACATGAGTATCTCTAAGCTACACTGCTGACTGCAATTCATATACACCCTAAAAAAAATATAAATTCAATTTGAAACTCAAGTGATCATTGTCATATTTTGTGAGAAAAAGCTTACATGTGCAGAAGTTGGCTTAGGTAGGTGACTTAGGACATAAGTGTTGTATGGTTGGCTTCTGACTTACAAACTACCTACTTTTGTAATATTGTATGGATGCTCAAGGCAATTAATGAGAGTTAATATTCGTGTGAGAATCTTAGTTTGGTCATATT